GTTCCCATTACTCTAGCTGGAATCTCACTCGTGCCATGTATTGTTTTAGGAAGACCTCCTTATTTTAATCTTTAGTGAATGTGATTGTCATGTTGATTTATGGTCTCCAAGTTGTGGACAGGGGAGTCTTTGATTTGTATCCAGGATGATAAAATGAGCTTACCCATTAACGTTATGCCTCATTGATCCTGTGCAGCATCCTGCCTGAGATCACAAGGGGGTCATATAGACCAAGACTGAGAGAAAGGCTCTGAATTCCCGCCCAGTTCAAAGAAGCTGATGGACCCAAGACACTTTACCCTCACTGCAGTTGGAATCTCTGATTAACACAACAAAACAGTAGTTAATGAGCTTTTGAAGTAATTTATTGTCCAGAGTCTATCTGCCTGGTCAAAGTTTAATCAGTTAAGATTTACAGGAATCACTTCCTGCTGTATCTCTCAGCCAATCATGATCCAATCAAACAGCACTCTCTTCTCGTGTGGTATAAATTGTCATTCCCTTTCTAAGTTTGTTTTCTTGTGTAGCAGTCCTAGTGAGGGAAAAATCAAAAGCTTTAACTTAATGTCTCCTTTAAGCCATGCAATTTATTGCGGAGAGATACTAAGAACTGCCAATGCTGGAATCAAAGATAGCACAGTGTGGAGGTGGAGAAACACAGCAGACCAGGCAGCATCAGAGGAGCAGGAAAGCTGACATTTCAGGTTGGGAAATTTCTGAAGAAAGGTCCAGACCCGAAACATCAACTTTCCTGCTCTTCTGATGCTGCCCGGCCTGCTGTGTTTCTCCAGCTCCACACTGTGTTATCTCAATTTATTGTGGAGCCTGGCTTCAGTTTTTCACAAGATAAGGTGATGCAGGAACGTAGAGACCCGCAAAGGAGAGATGTGCAGCGATAAGGGGCAGAGTGTGTGCTGATCTGGGGACCAGCGTTGGGAAGATTGTGTGGGGAAATTAACTGGATAGATCTTTCAAAGGATCAGCACAGGCATGATGGTTCAAATGATTTCCTTGAAGGCTACCAGATTGTATGCTGTTGACCTGAACGTTTAAACACACTTTTTTTTTGGAAAATGACCAGTGAAGGCTACATTTGAGCTTTCTACTTCATAGGTAGTCTCTCAGGATTGAGGCTACCTTTCTTCCACTCAGTGCTGGGGGTCCTGAGGTGACAGAACAAGCTAACACAGGACTCGCACAACATCCCACAGGCAGGATAGATCGTGTTTGCCAAAGTGAGTGGGTGGGATACTCAGGAAAATCCTTCTCTCGGAGAGTTGCTGGTCACTGGAATTCTCTACCCCAATGAACAGTGGAGACTGTGTCATTGAATACATTCAAGACCGAGTTGGATAAATTTCTGAACAGCAAGGGGAGTGGGGGTGGGAGAGTGGGGCTGAAAGTTATAAGAAAGTGGGGTTGAGGCCACAATCTGGTTTGTATTTATTGAATTGCAGGGCACAGGTCTCCCTAGTGATCTGGCTAATATTTATTCCTCACCAACAAATGTTTCACATTGATGCTTGTGGGAGCTTGCCGTGCTCACATATCTACATTTTCTGTCATAACAATACTTCAAAATTTCTTCTTTGGTTATAAATGTGGAATTGTGACTTAATGTAATTTCTCTTTCATCAGTATGCTGCTGCTTTCTATAGCAGTTTGTTGAACGCTGTTGGATTTTTTTTTATTCATTCACTTAATGGGTAGGTCACCATTTATTGCCCATCCCTAATAGTTAAGAGACAAACACATTGCTGTGGGTCTGGAGTCACATGTGGGCCAGACCAGGTAAGGATGAGAGATTACCTTCCCTAAAAGACATTAAGGAACAGGTTTTTCCAACAATCTGCAATGGTTTCATGGTCATCATTGGACTCTTATTTCCAATTTTTTATGGAATTCAGACTCCAACATCTGCCACAGCAGGATTCGAATCCAGGTCCCCAAACCATTCCCTGGATGTCTGAACTAATAGCCTAGGGCTAAACTGGATCTTCACCTACCCTGCCTATCATCGCTTGCTTCTCTCATCTTTTTAATTTCTCAATCCCTCCTACTCACTCAGAACTGTAAGATTGAATAAACTTGGCCACTTTGTATTTCACTTGGGTTTGTAAAGTTAGTATCTGACTGAACATAGTTCTTTAAAATTATAAAAATGCAATGATAGAGTGATAGAACCAAGGATAGTAATGAACAGACCTAGCTAGTCCATGCCAGTGTTCAGGTCATAAATGAGCTCTGATGCTTAAGTGCCACACAAGCCATCTTCATCTCACTCCCTATGAAGATACAACGTTGGAGCAGGAGTAGGCCATTCAGCCCCTCAAACCTGTTCTGCCATTCAAGAAGATCCTGGTTGGTCTGATTCCCCCACATTCCCACCTAGTCCAATAAACTTTCAAACTCTTGCTAATCAAGACTCTATCTACCTTTGCCATAAAAGTACTCTGCTTTCACCACCTTTTCCAGAAAAGAGTTCCAAGGTCTCATGATTCTCTGAGAGAAAAAACGAAATCTCTTAATCTCTGTCTAAAATGAGCAAATCCTTATTTTTGAACAGGGGTGGCATGGTGGTGCAGTGGTTAGCACTGCTGCCTCACAGCTCCAGGCACCTGGGTTCAATCCCACCCACGGTAACTGTCTCTGCAGAGTTTGCACGTTTTCCCTGTGTCTGCATGGGTTTCATCCCACAGTCCAAAGATGTGCAGGTTAGGTGGATTGGCTGTGCTAAATTGCTCTTAGTGTAGGCTAGGTGGGTTTACCATGGGAAATTTTGGGTGGGATGCTATTTGGAGAGTCAGTATGGACGCAATGGGCCAAATGGTCTGCTTCCACACTTTAGATTCTAGACAGGGGTTTTCCCGCAAGAGAAGTATCCTCTCCACATCTACCCCGTAAACATCCTTCAGGATCTTGTATGTTAATCAAGTTGCATCTTCCAAACTCCAGCAAAAAGAAGTCTAGTCTGTCTAAATTTTCCTCATAAGCCAACTTGCCCATTTCAAGTGTAAATTGAGGAAACCTTCACTGAACTGTCTACAATCTATTACCATTCTTCATTAAGTAGTGAGGTCCATACTGTACACAGTACTCCAGATACAGTCTCACCAATGCCTTGTACAACTGAAGCCTCAACATCAGCATATCTTTCTACTCCTTTGTCCTTTATGTATTTCTCTAGGTTTCCCTTAAATAATCTGTACTGTTCACCTCAACAATTCTGAGTAGCATTCTCGATATTCCCTTGGTAAAAACGCATTTCCTGACTTCCTTCTTGAATTTATTTGGGTTGAACATTTCTGGCTCAGTTTTGGACACGGAGAAATATTTACTCTCGACCAAAAAATTGCATAGTCTCAAAATTAAAGTGTTTATTAGTGAAATTAGGAAGGTTTTGGTTTCCGTGCAAATCTAAATCAAATCTTGGCCACAGCCATTTGCATTTATATAGTGCCATCAATGAATCACAGAATTGTTACAGCACAGGACAACATTTGGTCCATCATGTCTGTACTTGCCCATCTAAATTTCACTTAGTATCATTCTCCTGTCTTCTGCGTGTAAGTCTGCACATTCTTTCTTTTCAACCAACTGCTTAATTTCCATTCCAATGCTTGATGGAACCTCTTCCATCACATTCTCTGGCAGTGAAGATGTCCCTAGATATTGCTTTATTGGAATAATGATTAGACAAAGTTTGACATTACCGAACGGGCGTCTGCTAGCTTGCTCAGAGGACTGGGTTTTAAGGAGGGTCCTGGAGGATGAGAGGGCACAGTAAGGAGGTAAAGGCATTTAGGAGGGAGAGTTTAGGGATAGCTGATTACATTGCAATTGACGGTGAAGTGATTCAAGTAAATTCTTGTTTCATTGGAGGCTGAGAGTGATAAATTTCCATTAGGTAAGAGTTGATAGGAAACCAAGTCAATTTTGTTTTGGTGTCAGTCTGCTCCCATTGGACAATGCGAAAGCTCCCGCAGTCAAATAGCCACCTGGCCATTGTCAGGCTTACTGGAAGACTGACTAGTGTACAGGCAAGTGACAATGAGGTGAAAGCTCTTATTCTGTTGCTCAACAACAATAAGGGTCTGTGTGTGAATAGCAGGGGAGAGAGTGTGAAACATTAAATATTAGTCAGCTCTTATCTTTATTTTAGAAACATGCCTTTTACACATAACGGGGGTTCTTTTTGCCAAGACAGGCTTCTGAACCTCAGGTATCTGACACGCACTGTCTTTTCATTCCTCTTCCTCTACATTTTTTTTACTGGTTTGGGATCAAATGTTAAATAGTGTGGAGCCATTCATTCATTGATTACTAACAGTCCTGTGCTACTGCTGAACTCATGCTATATAAAGGAAATTAATCCTGAAGAAAGGGTAAGAGACAGAAGAAGAACAACATACACTGAGACAGAGGGAGAGAGAGAGAGACACAAACAGACAGTTAGATAGGCAGAAATAGTAACAGGCTATGAGAATGATAAACACATACCACAGAAAGAAGAGAGAGAGAGAGCTGATGCAGGGAAGCCTGGCACTCATAAACACACCCGCATGGAGACCTAAGGAAACTGCACTCAAGAACTGAGGAACGCACATTATATGGATTAGAAAGAGACAAAGGTGGGGGGAAGTCAACGATAGTAGTAGCAAAGTGAGAGACAGGTCAGGAGACAGAGAAAATTATGTGTTGCAGGAACAGCAGAATAAAGGCACAGAGAAACAAACAGATGAGGAAGATATACACAGAAATACAGAGAGGAAAAACAGAAGAAACAGAGACAAAAAGGAAAGATAAAGAGAAACAAAGGAACTTTGAGGCAGAGGAAAGAGTGAAAGGAGAGAAGCAAGCAGGGAGACGATAAAAGAGACAAAGGGGAAGAGGAGAGGGGGGGGGGGTCTAAAATAAAGGCAGGCAAAGAGTTACAGAAAGAAAGGGCGAGCGAGAGAGAGAGCTTGCCTTTAAAAAGCTGTGTGGGTGCCGAGCTGAGAAAGGTAGCTGTTCCAGTGATTGACTGCAACCAGCTCTCTGATTCAAGCGCTCACAGTAACAGGACAAAGTCAGGCCTCAAAGTGATTGGCTGCGATGAAATCCTCCTGGCATTGTGGGGAAGTCTACAGGGCTGGTCTAGCTCTTGGAGCAGAGCGAGGAGGAGGGAGCAGCTAAATACTGGCACATCTCTGCAGTCTGCAAGAGCTGAGAGTGTGAGAGAGAGAGAGAGCGTGAGTGCATGTGTGAGTGCATGTGTATGTGTGTGTGTGTAGTGTATTAATGAGCGCACTACATGAGGCGATAGCTAGCATCTGATGTAGATAAGGACAGCCTGCAGCAAGTCAAGGAGAAAGAGAGGGAGAGATTGCCAAAAACTCTCCCTGTTCTAATACCCCTCACCTTGGACAGTGGGTCCTGTTGCAAAGCCAGTTATATGCCCACCTGACCCAACTCTGGCACCTCGAAATAGACAGCGAGACAGGAAAGCAGCAACAGGAGGAGGTGGTGGCTATTGCTCTTATCTTTCCTGTCCTTTTCGATCAAGAGCCCGTGAGTGGGAGGGTGAGACGGGCACCCCCGCACCTCACGTCGACAGCGGGCGTACAGTTGGCAGGGGCATACCGACCATGCCAAAGGTCCTGGGCGCCATCATGGGGTTGCTGCTAGCCAGCTTCCTGGGGGCCAGCTCGGGGGCCAGCGCCGAGGAATATGAGTACTACGGCTGGCAGTCGGACCACCTCCAGGGAGGGCGCTTCTACACCAAGCAGCCGCAGTGTGTGGACATCCCGAGCGACCTGCGCCTCTGCCACAACATCGGCTACCGCAAGATGCGTGTACCCAACCTACTGGAGCATGACACCCTGCCTGAGATCAAGCAGCAGGCCAGCAGCTGGGTGCCCTTGCTGGCCAAGAGGTGCCACCCCGACACCCAGATCTTCCTCTGCTCCCTCTTCGCCCCTATCTGCCTGGACCGGCCCATTTACCCATGCCACTCGCTGTGCCAGGCTGTACGGGATGGTTGCTCACCCGTCATGGAGTCCTTCGGCTTCCCCTGGCCGGAGATGCTCAAGTGCGACCGCTTCCCGCTCGACAACGACCTCTGCGTGTCGCTCCAGTCGCCAGGCAACCCAGCGACTCAACCCCCAGGTAAGAGGGCGACCACGGCTGTGGGGGGAGGAGGGGGTGGGTGTGAGTGAGGGTCAAAGTGCCAGGGACGTGGGCATTTTGAACCCGCACCTTCAACAACAAAGGAAAGGTCCCTCATCCCTGTAAAGAAACCTCCGGCGGCATCTCATCCTGGAATTGTTGTCAGTCAGAGACGGGGCTAAACGTGAGGTTAAGGCGAGAGATGTGGAGTGATAGAGAGAGTGGGGAGCGACAAAAAAAAAACTGCAGATGCTGGAAACCAGTAGAGAAATGGGAGGCTGGAGGAACACAGCAGGCCAGGCAGCATCTGGAGGGAAGGAGCAGTCAACGTTTCGGGTATTACCCTTCGTCAGGAGAGAGTGGGGAGACAGAGAGAGAGGCAGAGATGGACAGGGAGAAATGGAGAAAGAGAGAGAGAGAGAGAGGGATGGAGAGAAGGGGAGTGGGATAGGGAAAAAGGGAACAGGATGGGGAGAAAGGGAACGGGATGGACAGAGAGTAGGATAGAGTGGGCAGAGGGAATGGGGGACAGGAGAAACAAAAGGACAAGGAGAGAGAGAGACAGACACTGAAAGAGAAAGGGAGAGTGAGAAAATGAATGATAGAGGGAGGCAGAAAGAAAGAGAGGAACGGAAAGACAAAAGGACAGAAAGGGAAAGCTTGAAAGGAAAAGGGAGAGTGAGAAAGAAAGACACAGAGAAAGAGGCACCGAAAGAGAAAGGGGGAGAGAGGGGCTAGAAAGAGGAACAGAGGGAAAAGGAAGACTGGGAGGGTTTAGAGAAAGACGGAGAAAGAGGGGAAGAGATAGAAACCGAGAATAAATAGGAACACAGAGAGAGAATGTGACAGACAACACGGAAAAGAGAGAGTAAGAGAAATTGTCTCTCATGATCTCAGGGTATCCCAAAAGTGCGGTCACTCTGTGAACTAGGAAAGAGAGCAGAGAGATAGGAGCAGAGGGTGATTGATAAGGAAAGAGAGTCTTAGAAAGAAGCAGATGGAGTATAAAGGTAAGGGGTCAGAGAACAGTGGAAAGTGAACAAAACTGATGGCAGGGACACAGCATAAGAGGGACGGACAGAAAGAGGGGTGCAAGTATTAAAGGAAGGAAGTATAAGTGAGAGTGGATGTGGAGGAAGGGTAGCTGGTGTTGGCAAAGAGAGATAAAGAGGCTGGCTGAAGCAAAGAGGGGAGAAAAAGAGAGAATAAAATAGAGGAGGCTAAAAGAGGTGGAGAGAGTCTCAGGTTTTTCAAGGAAAGCACTTTTCACAATGAACCATTCGTGTGATGTAGCGAGATAGTAGAACTGCAGATGCTGGAGAATCTGAGATAACAATGTGTAGAGCTGGATGAATACAGCAGGGTCAAGGTCCGAAACGTCAGCCTTCCTGCTCCTCTGATGCTGCTTGGCCTGCTGTGTTCATCCAGCTCTACATCTCATTCCTGTGATGTAATCTGAAAATGTGTAGCAATGCTGTAAAAAGTCATTTAGAAGCGATTTGTGTCTCTTTAGTCCCTCATTCCCTTGCTTTGTATTATGCACAAATAAGTAATGTGTCAGGAAATGTTCCCTTCCATTGAGAACTCTATCTACCGGGAGCTTTCTGTGCAGCGGGCCAATGTACTGTAAATCCCCTAATATTTGTGAATGCTATCAGGGGTCATGTCTCTCCCAGCTCCACTCTCCTCAGTACGGGTGCGGGAGGGGTAGAATTGCATTGGGAGATGCCCCTGAGACCCCTCCATGGGCAACCCTCAGGCCCAACCCCACCCCCCAACCCCTTTTGCCCAGAGGCCAACTTCAGAGAGTCGTCGGCAGTGTTTTTTCATTTGTTAGACGCCCAGGTCGAGGATAGCACAGGGCGATCCCAAAGGAGGAGGCAGAGCTGGAGGAGCGAAAGTGTGGATTCTGAGGGAGAGGGACAGCAAAGAGGGAGAGGGAAGGGGGAAGGAGGTGTGAGGGAAATGGAAGGGGAAGTGGGGAGAGGGAGGGGTGAGGGAAGTGGGAACAGGAGGGGGAGAGGGAACGGTGAGAGGGGGGAGATCTGTCAGGGGCGAGCTGAGCCCCCACACAATGAGCAAAGGATCCTATGATAACCACAGCTGTTGGACTGCACTCCTTCCATCTCAGTTTAGGATCAAAGGATGGTGTACCAAAGAAAGAGGCTATTTGGCCCATCCTGCTTGAGCCAGCTCTTTGTACGAGTTATCCGACTCATCACACTCCCATCACTGTTTGTTTCCCAGAGACTACATAGTTTTACCCACCAATTATTCAACCAATTTCCCTATTGAATTTGCCTGCACTACCCACACCACTGGGTTAAAACTAAACCCCTTTCCCCGTAAATGACCCTAACCCTGTCATTGACGGTGTGTTTATGGCACACGTTAGTTGAGGAGAATTTGTGAGAATGACAGAATGATTAGTAGGTTCAGGGAATTGTGTTCTCTGAGATGCATTCAGGGCTGTTTTTGTCTCATGACCCCATAATCACAATCACAGCATAGCCTGATTGTTATAGGAACTTAAACGGATCGGATTAAAACCAAAATCAACTGAGGTGCCAGGAAAAACTGCTCCACACATTCCGCCTTGACAAATGGTCCCCACAGACACAGTGTCTTGTGATTAACCTTTGGATCTGGGGAGGGAATGAATTCTAGCTTTCCCAGTTTAACATTTTAATGAAAACCTTTTACAAAAATCCATGCCAAAAATAAATTTGTGCACCCGCAGCAGAAATGTTTGCCATGCTGCAAGTTCCACAGAATCTTCCAGCACAGAATGAGGCCATTCAGTCCATCGGGCTTATGCAGGGTCTCTTTCAAGAAGTTGCACTTCCTGGTTTCCTTCAAGAAGAGTTAAGTTCCCAGTGAGTGGGAATGATTTGCTGCAAATCTAATCTTTGGCAGTGATGAGGTTAAAGGGGGGGCAAAATCTGTCAGAATGTGTATGTGTGTCTGTGTGTGTGTGTGTGTGTCTGTCTGTCTGTATGTGTGTGTGTGTGTCTGTCTGTCTGTATGTGTGTGTCTGTATGTGTGTGTGTGTGTCTGTCTGTGTGTGTGTGTCTGTGTGTCTGTGTGTGTGTGTGTGTCTGTCTGTATGTGTGTGTCTGTATGTGTGTGTGTGTGTGTGTGTCTGTCTGTCTGTCTGTATGTGTGTGTCTGTATGTGTGTGTGTCAACATGTGCAAGTGTGTGTGACTATTTACGTGCAGTCATATCTGTCTGTGTGCATCCCTTTGTGACAGTTAGTGTTTGTGCGTTTGTCTGTCTGTGTGTATTGGTGTGACTGATGGGATGTCCGTATGGATGTGTGTATGTGTGTGTGTGTGTGTATGTGTATGTGTGAGAGAGAGAGAGATACTATGAGCGCGTGTACCTATGTGACTATGCATGCCTGTGTCTTTATGTACAAGTATATGCAGAGTGCATCTTTGTATATGTGTACGAGTCCATGTCAGTGACTGTGTGAGTATAACTGCGAAATTCTATGTGCGTGTGTAGAGCACATGTGTGTGTTTGTGTGTGTGTGTGTGTGTGAGAGAGAGAGAGACAGCGCGAGTATGGGTTGAGTGTATTACTGAGTGTACGTGCATGTCTGTGTGCTTTTGCATTTGTATGTACCTATATACACAAGGCTGTTTGTGTATGTGCATGCATGACTGTATGTCTAGGAGCGTATGTTTGACTTTGTTTGTGCATGTATGTATGCATGACTGTGTGTGTGTATATGACTGTACGTATGTGTATACTGGCAGGTTTCTTTGGCACAACGTAATGTGCTATCTTATTCATATGCTGGCACTGCCAGTGCTGAACGTCCCAGATAACTGCATGAGGTAATCATGGTGAACAGAGCCAGAGACTGGTTCCCCGTGTAACAGACCCACTGTAATTGACGCAGTCCAAGCCGGGAGCTGTGAAAGAAACAAACACAGCCTGGTTTCAAATCCATGAAGCCCATTCCCAACTCTGTCCCTCCCCCACCAGCTAGACAGAACAGAAATGTTGGTGACCATGTCGCTTTCAGGATAAAAGTTGAATGCTGTCAAAACAAAGGTCTTCACTATTTCCATAAATGGCTCATTCTCTGCTTCAGCAAACGAGAACCATGCGCAGTCACAGTTTTACCATAGACAGGTAGACATAAAACTCTTCGAGTTTTTTGCTAAATGTTCTTGGCCTGGCTAAAATCTGTTGTTGCAGAGTTGCGAAAGCAAATCATGGAAACATTGGTGGAATGTAACAAGGATATAATTCAATGTGATTAGAACTGTAACTATGTTTTTTTAAAAAATGCATGCGTATTTGGTTGGGAATGAGCTGACAGATTCCCCCTTACAGCAGAAAGCTTGCTGAGCCCAGAAATTGTTTCCTGTCACTCTAGGTAAAGGTCCAAAGGGCTGGTCTCTCATTAGAGAGAGACGATTCGTGGTGGTTTAACCTGACGGTTTAACTAGGTGAGGTAGAGAAGGACAGACCTTCACAGTAACCTCAGCTTGTGCAGGGATTGCTTCTGTATAGGTTGTCAGTCTGCTTCTCAAACTAGCCATCCTGCCAACAGTCACTCTAAGGTACCAGTGAAAAACAGAGGGATTGTGAGACAACAAGAGAACAAGTTCTCTCCTACCAGTCATTCACATACTCCAATTTTACAATGCACATGCCAGTTTCGAATTCCCTGCATTAGACTCCCCTGTCTCCTCTTCTCCATATAAGTGGCTCAGTGATTAGCACTACTGCCTCACAGCGCCAGGGACCTGGATTCGATCCCACCCTCGGGCAACTATCTGCATGGAGTTTGTACATTCTCCCTGTGTCTGCGTGGGTCTCCTCCGGGTGCTCCGGTTTCCTCCCACAGTCCAAAGATGTGCAGGTTAGGGTGGATTGGCCACGCTAAATTGCCCCTAGTGTCCAGGAACGTACAGGTTAGGTGTATTGGCCATGGGAAATGCAGCATTACATGGATGGAGCAGAGGGGCTGGCCTGGTCAGGGTGCTCTTTTGAGGGTTGGTACAGACTCAATGGGCCTGCTTCCACACTGTAGGGATTAACATGTCTGTTCTAATGCAGGCAATGAGGAGGTAGCTCATGCATTTTGAGGCTTGACCTGAGAAGCTTGCTGATCAAGTGTTTTTACTCCTTCCCATCCCAGCATTCACAATTAGGTGCTCCTCCTGATTGCTCAGCTTCAATATCAAACAGCTTCCCATTCCCCACTTTGACAGCAACTTACTGACCATGGAGTTGATCAACTGTGAGGTTTTAACACATCAGATGATGGGCAGTAAATGCCACTGCTCACATAGTGATGTTCACATCCCACAAGAACATAAGAATGAGGAGCAGGGGTACGCCATTCAGCCCCTCTAGCCTGGTCTCATTAATACAACCATCTCAGCCTCAGCTCCACTTTCCTACTCACTCTCCATAACCCTTCAACCATTTACTTATTAAAAACCTGTCTATCTCCTCCTCATATTACAGTGTCCCAGCATCCACCCCACTCAGAGGGAGTGAATTCCACAGATTCATGACCCTTTGAGAGAAGTAATTTCTCCTCATCTCTGTTTTAAATCTTTTACACCTTCACCTAAACCTGTGATTCCTTGTCCTAGATTGCCCCACATGAGGAAACATCCTCTCTACATCTACTTTGTTAATCTCCTTTAGCATCTTATATACCTCAATTACATCTCGTGTCATTCTTCTAAACTCTAGAGAGTACAGGCCTAAACTATTCAATCTTTCCTCATAAGACAAGCCTTTCATCTCTCTATCCCACAGAAGAATAAAAGCATTCACTGACAAAGGAAGGGTTAACTTACTTTTCTCTTTGCTGCACATATATCAACTTTGTTTGAGAATGTTTTTCGTTGTGTGTTAGTGGCAAGATGTAATAAAAAATTTCTTACAGCAAAACAGATGTTGCGATCTGTGCAGTGGTGAGGACTTCAGATAGTCTGTCATCAATGAGTGGAAAGCAACACAGACAATACGTCTAGGTCCAAGAAAAAAAATCACCTCTGATCCTCCCCATGCATTTCCCCAAATTCATCCTCTTCAAAGGTTTTCACTCACTACTTGCTCCCTCCTCATCAATGTTAAACTATTCTCTTAATGCTGTTTCAAAGTACTCACCCCACCAATGCAACAGCACCTTCCCATCACCCTCACCAAGAGCCTCAAAAGGGCAAGAAAATAACAAATTAACAATTCACATTTCTACAACTCCACCTATGACCTTAGTACACCTGAAATCAGAAGACCATCAATGTACGTACAGCAAACACACATAAGATGATGACCAGATTGTGTGAAGTCAACAGAGAGATGATGAGTTCAATGACAGAGTGCTGATTAGATCACTCCAAATCAAGCTGCATGAGCGAATGGAGATGATCAGAAAGGTTATCCAGGATTCCTGACCCTTACCGGTGGACAATAGCTCCTCCTGGAATTGTCATGACATCAAGGAGAGCATGCTCATGCTTATTCGTGATGCAGTCCTCCCTAAACAGCACCTCCTACCCAACTCACTCCCAGTCAAAATATTCCCTCACCAAACTCATCCCCACTCAACACACTCCCCCATTCAACTCACCCCCACTCAACACACCCCCTCACACAACTCACCCCCATTCAACACACTTTCTCACCCAATTCACCCCCATTCAACATACTCCCTCATCCAACTCACCCCCACTCAACATACTCCCTC